TAGGGGGTTTAAGGTTTAGGGGGTTTAGGGTCTGTAGGGTTTAGGGCCTATAGGGTTTAGGGTTTAGGGTCTACGAAGGCTTCTTGCTCCACTACCCTGGGTACCGGCGAGGGTTCAGGGAAGTCCAAGGGGGGAAGGCCTGGAGCTCTAAGCGTTACGAACCCCCAAAACCCTATCAAACCCTACACCCTCAGCCCCAATCCCTAAACCCGAACCCCTAAACCCTATAATCACTCCAAACCACAACCCATCCCCCAACTCCATTATATTCCCTCTCCCCAAACCCTAAACCCTATAGTTTAGATACTCCAAAGCATAACCCTCATCCCTGAACTCCATTATTCCCTCTCCCCAAACCCTAAACCCATGCGAGTAGTTTTCTAAAGTAGGGCCCCTTTTTAGGTCCCCAATACGGTACGGCACCCTTTTAAAAAAGGGACCCTAATTTAGAGAACTACCCAGGTGAGTCCGGGTACCAGCGTGATTGTCGCCAGCATGGACCGGTCGCCCCACTCCGCAAGGAAGATCAGAACCTCTCTGAATGGACTATAGGGCCTAGGAGCTGATAGCGTCAATATTTGTAGGGTGTCGGAGCTAGGGTTTAGCGTTTAGGGCTTGGGCTTTTAGGGCTTAGGGTGGAGGCGGTGTATTATGCCATAACTCTATAGGCCCTAGAAGAAAATGCTACGAGTGACTCGTCAGACCCCCCAAATTATTGACTGACAACTGCTCTGATGTCTCATAAAGCTGTACGCATGAGAGGCATCGACGAACCTGAGCCCCAAAACCCTAAATTTCGTCTGCCTTCAGGCACTTCGTTTTTCTCCGGTACTGCATCGACAATCGAAGAAAAGGAACCTCCAGACTAAAGCAAAAAACCTAAACTCATCATAACTCAAGCTTCCTCTCTGCGCGTCAGTTACACAGCATCACCAAGACCGAAATAAAAAAAAGTATCACCTAAGCAACACTCGCCAAAGTACTGCTTCTGCTGCTGCTTGCGCTACAGCTGCTTCTTCCTTTCTGCCAGTCGCGTTACCGAATCTCAGAGTGATAATCATGGTCGTTCTTCGCACGACCATCGCAGTTGTATCACCCATCGCCTAGCTTACGACATAAGCATCTCCACCACCGCAAAAGCAATGTCATCGGTTCAGATCAGCAGGGTCTTTTACAGCACAGCCAGCACCGCTGCCACCACCAAACTCACCAGCATAGCCATTCCTAAAAGTCCAAGTTCCCATATAGTATATAACATGCTCTGGCCCTACAGTATCTGTCGGTCAAGGCCAAAGTGCATGCTATATAAGTATATTCTATGTAGTGGGTCTCAGGTTTTGTTGGGCGGAAGGTCTCCAGTAATTATCAGGTTTTAGGCTGGCTACAAACGTCCCTTAAACCCTCAACCCTAAATCCCCCTAAACCCAAAACTCTAAACCCGAGGCCCCAGTCTTCAGCTGGGCAGCCGCAAAGCGAAAGGCGTACATCAGACTGAAGCGGTGTGGATGGTGATGGCCACGAGCCTGTACTGGGGGTGCATTGGGGATCATTATGGGGCTTTGGGTTTAGGGTTTAGGGTTTATGGGGCTTAATGTGATCTGTTAGTGTGGCTTCTAGTAAACTTCTTGTCTTGAGAGCCGTTGCCGACGATGACCTGTGCAAACAAGCACTGCTACTGTGACTTTGTCGGACATTGCATTTGGATCAGAACTACTCTCCTGCGGAAGACGAATGCCGGGAACGCTGCTTTCATGGCAAAGCCTAAACCCTCCCCTCAAACCCTCAAACCCAAAAATCCCTGCAGCCCAAACTCTTGAAAGAGGTAGCAAAAATTGACGGCCGTAGTGTTCAGTTCTTCCTAACTTGAGACACAAGAGCTATAGCACCACTGTGCAGTCCGTATAGACACTTCAAGAGCGGTTTAGAACCTGTGCGAAACCCAAGTGGAAGCCAGCGAAAGATGGGACTGTAGGCTTTCTTCTCTTGTATGTTCGAGCATGCTGATCAAACTGGCCTTGTGCAGCACACCGTCAATTTCCTCAGCCAGCAATGCGCGAAAGCCAGACCAAGGAAACCGAAGAACATTTACAGAGGCCGGCTTCCCAAAGAGCCCAATACCCCTTCATTAATTGAGGAATATGCCTTGAATTTTACAGGACTGAATACTATGATCTAAGGTACACTCCGTAATTAGAGGGCACTGGGCTCTCTGGGATGCCTCTAGAGTCTAGAGTAGGTTACCGTTCCAGAAACCCTAAATATCAACCTTATTAGTTCTTAATACCCAATGACCCAGTATAGTATATAGGTACCCAGAAACTTCAATGCTGCTTAATTAGGGACTAACCTCAAGCAATGCTATAGAGGGTTCTTATTTCTGTTTAAGGCACATTCGCTTTGGGAGTCTCCGGGTGCTCTTAGACCGCCCTAAACTCTCGAAACAGACAAACCTAACACGAGAGTTTAGGATTCCTGCAAAGAAGCCATATATACTACATATTATACATATATATATACACACGTGAAAAAATACGTGAATAGATATCTAGAGAGAGAGAGAGAGAGAGAGAGAAAGAAGTAAAACAAAACAAGAACTGAAGCCGATTGAATAATCTTTGACGGATCTTCGAGGACAGAACATGGCTTACGGATAACAAAAACACGGCACGCGGCCGGGAATGGATCTTTCAGAGCCAAGTTGTTGTTGGCCCTGTAGTAGGGGTCCTTATCATCATTGGGGTTAAAGTTAGAGGCTTGAGGGCTTTATCAGACATCATCATGTTGCAGGTTGAGGGTAATTCGGGTACGACTTTGACTTCAAGCCCTCGCATACTGATTTAATTTAAGGCTTAAGGTTCATTATTTAGAAGAAAGAAGCCCAAATCAGAACACCGAAAGAACTCATGCAAACCAAACCACTGACTGCGCATCCCCCTTCTCGCCCTCGTCCTCCTCGCCGTCTTCGTCCCCTGCAGGAAATAGGGAACAGAAGACCCTGAAGCTCCCACAGTGCAAAAGGACTGCATCCTGCCAGCCCCAACATAGAGGCCGATGATATTCTGACATACATACATACATACATACATACATACATACATACATACATATATATATATACATATAAATGCACTTACATACAACGCTTGTTAAGCATTAGATCATACCCAAAGACTCCGAAACCCCTGAGTTCAATAATTTTGCTGCGCGATATGAAAAACACCTTCTATCGTTCCGTCTATGCAGCTTCTTTGCCTTCTTCAGGGAAGTTGGAGGCTTTGAGCAGTACATCTCCAACCGAAAACCCTGATCTCATTCTCTAGGTTTCCATACCCCTGCACGCGTAGCACTAGTCACTAAACACTGAAGCTCAACGCTTCAACACCCCAAACCCCTAAACCTAAACGACCGAAGACCCTGAACCCTGCAATCCTGAACTCATAAAACACTAAGCCACAAAATTCAAATCAGGACACTGAGTTTTATTCCCCACGGCACACGCAGTGGGGTTCTAACGTGAAGAGTAGTAAGGACAACTGGCGCTGTGGCCAAGCACGAGCCGGCTGAAGTTTCCCTGCGACGCGGCCCCAGCTATGGTGCATAGGTTGCACTCACGCCCTTTCACCTATACACAGGGTCAATCGACCTCAATGGGTAAATATCAATGCATTGGCCTTCTTTGCATTCCAGCAGTACTTGAGGGAAACGTTTCGGCCGTGCTCCAGGCTCCCGTGAAGAAACGACACTCTGCGAAGGCTGCAATGTAACTACCCAAGGACGTGGTAGGCGGCACACCTATAGGATGCCTTAGCGACCGTGCAGTGAGCGTGATTGAGCCTCGAGGACACCTTCGCGCAACCATCCACGTGAGAAGCTAAGAGTTCACACCTGTGCATGGCCTTGGCAACAAACCTGGTTGAAAATTGTGACGCCGCATGATGCGGTGATATTCGCACGTCATAGAGGCCCCGTAGACCACCATTACAGGGCTCAGGTGTAGGTCGTTTCGTTGGACAAGACCCCAAATCACCAGGAACAAGGGAAACTCCTTACATGACACGCTTTAGCTATCTTCACACACGCTCCTTCTTCAAGGGGCATGGGGCGCTCTAGGATCCAGTCTGAAGACTGTTGTCGTTTCAACTTTCTCGTATATGGAGGGGATGCGATTAAAACTTGTCCTTCAGTGGAAAGGGCAGAAATTATAAATGCAGAGGGTGTGAGACAAATTAGCTGAAGTTTCTTGAGTGGAGGATTGAGATTCAAGTCTTAAGAAACCCTCAAGCACCAGCTGCCAATCGTATTGCATGAAAAAGGTCCCTCAGCTTGCCGAGCCAACTCCAAAAACAATCATGGTCGTGAGCCACAGGAGTTGGGGATGAAAGTGTGGAGGTCTCTTTTGGGACCAGTCTTCAATCATGTTCGGTTAGTTGAGGTCGGAAGAAGAGCTTGAATCCCGCCCCAGGCACCCATACAGGGTGGCGGGTTTAGGGGTTTGAGGGCTTGTGTTCAGGGTTCCCCCGCAAATTTTGGGTGTGCCCCAACGCTCTGAAATTTGACCTCAACTACAGGCGACCGACCAAACACCCTCACAACCCAACGACCCCTAACAACCCAAACCTGACAAAGACGGCTTCAGAAACAGACCGGGGTGTGCGGTATACTGAAGTACAAGATTCTAAGTATGAGGATAGTAATCATAGTAATTGTGAAAAACTGTGTAGACCAGCCTATGTTACAGAACTCTCGAAAAGTCCCTAAAGCCCTGTGGGGGAGCCTCCCATGGTCTCTCGGAAGGATTGCAGGCCAAAGAGAATCATTAGTGCCTCACTGTAAGCTCTTGACACTTTCGATGCTGTTTTTGGATTTGTTTTTTTCGAGGTTCGCAGTTGGGTGGCTTGGGGGTTTCGGGAATTGGGCGCTTAGGGGTTTAGGGATTTCAGGCGTTTCGGCGGTTTAAGCACTCTCTGGAAGCGCGATTACCCTAGACAAAGCCATTCCGAAAGAAGAAATGGATGCTTGGAATGTGCTAAGATAAATACATCTTCAAGGTATCCAGACCCCCGGGAGCATCTAGAAAGTGGATCCCAAACTCGGAGTTCCTATGAAGTATCCCCTTAGTAGCATAGGGTCGCAAACTAGGGGATCACTCTTCAGATCCTTCCGGGGGTCTGGGTAGAACTCAGGGTATAGGGCCTGTGGACAATGGCTCTGAAGGATAAAACTTCTACACTTAACCCACCTAACCACCTGTGTCGGTTGGGGCCTCAATCCTACACCCTAAACCCTCGACACCTAAACCAGCAAATCAAGAATCTCTCGTGAAAGTCCCGCCCGGCTATCAGATGCTTCGCGCTCCGTGGGGGATCGACAATTGTTGGAGGGTTTAGTGTTTAGGGGGAGAGTTTGGGACTCGGTGTTCTACCTTTTTTTTTTCAGGCTCACCCAGCCTTCGCAAGGATCACATGGACTATCGTGAAGCGTCAGGTAGAGCACCAACCCCATACAACCCGAACCTGTTCCTGAGCCAACTAGACATCGACGCGTGTGGTTTCAATTTAAGTCAACCCTACCGCGGCCTGCTTACGTCACACGGTTTCGGTGGAAATGCTCAGGCATAGGAGTGCATTGCGATAAATAGGAATAGGGTTTGCATGCGGGTTTAGGATGATCTTCTGGATCCTGCTTGCGGGATTTGGCATGGTGTATGTTCAGGGCTCTGGCAATGGCTGCCGGGATTGCGAGGCGTGGCATAGATGTGAGGGCATTCATTGTGCCAGGCCCCCAAAATAATATCCAGAGGGGACGAATCCTAAAGGAACACTCACGCAGTGTTGATGGTATAGAAGTTTAGTTCTGCTGGTCGATTCTTACTTGATTCAGCTTGATAACTCCAAAGATACCGCCCCAGCCCGAACTGACTGAGCCCCTTTGGGGTGCTCAGCTTTCGATCGAAGGCTCTAAGGGACTTGGAAGTACGGGTAACATAGAGGTCTGACTAATAACTAACACTATTCCTTAAAAAATCTGCTTGAAAAATACAGCAAATGCATACCCTCAAACGACATTCTCACTGAGGCCCAGGTATCATAGAACCCCTAGTATTGGAACCCTTTATTGTCATCGGTAAACCTTTTTAGGGTTTGTCGTTTAGGGTTTAGGGTTTAGGGAACAGTTTATAAAGGAGCCCTCAAGACACCCTATTCACAACTCTACTTCTTTAAAGCCTTGAATCCTGGACATTTCCAGGAAGTGCAACCACAGCCACCGCGGCAGTCCACCGAATGATGCTACCGCTGCTCACCGTCAGCGTGAGCCTTCGACTTAGACGTGATGATTTTTCGGGGGTAAACGTCTTCGGATTAGGTTGGTTTGGCCTTGTCATGGGGGCGGGCTGCCTAAAAGCAGTGCAGAGCTTCAGAGACTTGGAATATCTTCTTGCAACATGACGGTGCTGCAGTAGAGTCACAGTGTGCAAACTTCCGGTTCAGGTCTGTTCGAGTTCGATTGCCGGTCGAGGGGTTGATGATTGAGGCCTATAGTTTCCATTTGGCGACATGGAGGATGTGCAGAAAAGTCTGGGCATTTCTGGACTACCACCAGCCTAGTTGAACCTAAGCCCACCCCGTGCCCATGCACTCCCGCAAGCGCCTGCGTAGCATCACACCGATGCTAGTCGACACGAACATCATAACCTCAGAACGTTCTCATGTGACGCCATGCCACGACAAACTAGGTTCTTGTTAAGGAGTTAATTCTAAGTAACATCATAAAGAAACCAGATTATCTTCTAAAGATCCCTATCTACGGCAACTTAATTCTCCTCCTTGACAAGAACCCAGACAAAGACAGCGGCCGAGCAGCAAGCTTCTTCAGAATCTCGACTCCACGACCAAAAAATGAATAAGTGGGTTTAGAAGAGCTTTCTAGGCACAAACAATGCATCCAATGTTAGCACGAATGCTGGTGCGAACTCTGCCACACTAAGTACTACAATCGCTAGAGCTGTTAACGCTGCTATTACTCCCACTCGCTCGAGCAATACCACTCCTCTTTTTCCCTCGTCCGTGACTCCGTGACCCAGCCGAAACCAGTGTCGCCCAACCTAGTTGCTGACTTCCTTGACCCAACACGCGCTCACCTCTTGACAATGAGGGCATATCCTATCTCTCCAACGTGGTTCGCAATCACTTCTAGTCTCGAGAATACATATAATACGGACCCTAAACCTTAAACCCCAAATAATCCAATTTAGCCCTAATAGCCCCGAGCCCGATAGCCCGGGACCCTCATGGGAAGCCGGAACAAATTGCAGTCCCAGCCTTTGCAGCTAGCAGTGAACCCCAACACACTTAACCCTAAACCCCGAAGCCTCAACCCTGAAATCCTACACCCTGAAGCCCTAAAGCCTACATTCTAAATCCTAAACCCTGAAGTTTTAAACCCTACATCCTAAATCCTGAACCCTAAGTTGGAGCAGGGTACCCAAAGGGCTGACTGCGAGCTCAGCAAGGCGAGCCTGCATCAGAGTGGAAAATTTCTTCGGTGTCTGCGTTTTGGGGTTTAGGGGTTTAGGGTTTAGGGGTTTAAGGGTTTTGGGGTTTAGGGGTTTAGGGTTTCACTTTCGGGTAGAGGTTGCGGGTTTAGGTCCCTTCTTGAAATTGCGGTGGACTTTCGGGGTTAAGGCCTTAAGGAGAGTTGGACTTGGCCTTTTTCCTTTGTACGGAACTGTTTGGGTAGGGACTCTGGTGTAGGGCTTCGGGTTGAGAGCTCAAGGTTTTGGCTATCTAATCTGGGTTCTTGCTATTGGGGATCTATAGCTTAACAAGAGCCCAGTAATGCTGCGGGCAGAACACCAGACGTTGAGGGTTTAGGGCTTTGGGTCCATCGAACAAGCCATCAAACCGAACCAAATGATAAGCACAAGCACTCGACCACAAAGCGTAAGCACCTAAACCCTAAACCTAGACTCTACAGCCGAAACCGTCTAGCATTGAGCTCGACCCTGAAGGAACAAATTTCGACCAGACTTACAATGCTTTGAACAATATGGCCAGCTTCGACAAAATGTCCCAAACGCCTTCTATAGTCGGGTCTTTTGGCCCGAAAGCCTCGAAAACATATGAGTTTAGCCCTAAGTATATAGGGCTTCTATAAGGCTTCTATAAGGTATATAGACCTTCTATAAGGCTCCTATAACGGTAACTACCCACCTGACGATGTCCTAGACTAAGGCTCAGTTACCAGCTAGGTTTGTCGCCCATGCAAAAGAGACGGTTCGGGTCCCTGGGAGTCCATGTGCCCAAATAGTGTCACTTTAAGGGTCCCTTTTAGGGTTCCTTAAAGGGATCTTTAAGGGTTCTGTAGGGTCTAGTGGTTAAGGTTCCATGTACCCAAAGAGTATATGCTTTGGCCTTAAAGTAGTCCCTCTTTTCGGTACTTTGGAGACCATGTATCTACTATGGACCCTTAGGGCGGTTTGGGATTCAGGGCTGAACCCTAAGACTTCGTACAGCCCAGAGTCAGATTGCGTGCTATTTACCGACTACACAGCCCAAACTGAAGTATTGAATTGAAATGCTTGGAGTCTTAGGGCATAAAATGTACGTCGAATTCTTCAAATCGAAACCGGAGTTGAAGCTGCAGAGCCTGCGACTACTGCGCATGGCTAGAATCATCGTGAGGAAAAAGGTCCTGAGAGCTGGGAGTTTAAGCGCTTGCCGACGCTTTGTTAAGGGTTCTCGAAGCTGTTGATGATATACATCCTGCATTACACTAAGGACCCTAAACTATGAGAAATATGGAATATTCCTTATTACGGGTAAATTTAGGGTTTGGGGGAGTTAGGGGTTCTAGGGTTTGGTGTGTCAGCTTTGAATAAGGCGGCTGTTGAGTCATGGCTTAAAACACGTTCTGCACGGGATAAACGAAGGGTACCTCGTCTCTGGTTGGCCTTCTGTGACATCCCCAGAACTGGCTCCCTGTTGGGGCTATAGTAAAAATGATCATCTTTAATCCTTATGAAGGCTTTCTTATAACAAAAATGCAAAATTGTAGCCAACAAGGACCCAGAGAAGAGGATCACAACACTGGGGCCTTCAATCCCGGAAGCTGTGCACACTCCTACCGAACAAAAGCCTAAACCCGCTTAAACCCTAAAGCCCTGAAGTCTTACGGCCCTGAAGCCTTCAAGCCTAAGCTGACCCCAAACCCTAAAAGCCCTAAAAGCCCTAAAAATCCCTTAAAACCCCAAACCCGAAAAACCCTAAAGCCCAAATGCCCTAAAAGCCCTAACAACCCTAAACCCAAAACCCCTAAACCCAAACACCCTAAAAACAAAAACTAAAGAACCCTCAAAGCTCCTCTAAGCCCTGAGACATGAGACAAGCTCTTGCGGCCTTTCCTGACCCTGCTGCTATGGGGAGCCATCGTCAGTCATTAACTGAGCTATGAGTCATGTGAATAGGGTTTTAGGGTATAGGGTTTAGGGATGTTTAGGGCGTAGGGTTTAGGTTTAGGGATGTTTAGGGTTGGGGGTTTAGGGTTTAACTGAGCTATGAGTATAGGGTTTTGGGCTCCTCGCAAGTGTAACTCTAACAGGGAAGCAGTATGCACTCACTGGAACACCGCAACATGCATTAAATCCTTGCTACGCTCTTCTAGAGCATGTAATCACGCAAATTTCTCTGAGGCTCTTGTCGCCAACCTCACTGACCAAAACCGTGGCCAAAGCCTGACAAATTTCTGGAGGGTTTTTTGCACACACGTCGGGCCCATCTGGACGTAGACAGGCAGGGAGGGGAGTACAATCGGGGGTTTGCTGGAGTACGCGTGCCAACTCTGCATCCAAACCCAGATCTCTGGAACGGTCCGAAAAGTAAACCTCTATTGCCATGCAATGAACTTCTCCTTAGTTCTAGGAAAGTGTCGGGTTCTAATTGTCAGATCTTATTGGAGATCTGGGAGGTTTCCAAGACTGCAGCCACCCTCTAAACCCTAAACCCTAAACCCCTGAAGCCTCAACCTTCAGCCCTGTAGCCCAATGTAGCGCCCTGAACATAAACCTCCCCGGAATAGGGTTTCAAAGGGCACAGCCCCAAGGTCTAAACCCTACGTAAACCCCAAATAACCCACTTTGTTCGGGCTCCTTGTTATGATTTCTTTATAGAAGTCCTTGAAAAGGTAGGCTCTCTGGGGTTAAAGGTAAGCCCTATAATAAGCCCTAGGCCCTAAACCTGAAGGTCGAAACCTTTAAACCTAAATCCGGACGCGAAACCACTAAAAACCCTAGAGACACCCCTCGCAACACCTCGCCAGCGCCAGAGATGGGCATCAAAAGGGCCTCTCGGGCACTCGGCGGCCTCGCTCTCAGGCGAAGCGAAAGCAATCCCGGGTCCTTAAAGGAAACTACGTGGGGAGTTCAGGGTGTTTATGGCCTAGGGCTTCTCTAAGGCTTCTAGAAAGTATATAGACCTTCTATAAGGCTCCTATAACGGTGACTACCCACCTGCAAATGTCCCAGATTAAAACGTTGGAGCAGGGCTCCTTTACAGGCTTGTCCTACAGAGCCCTAATTAGAGGGTTACTATAAGGATTCCCAGAAAGGGCTCCATGATGCAATCATTATACCCCGAGGGTTCTAGAAGGGTTCTATGATGTCGGGGCCTCAATGCGACCTCAAGAAAGAGTGAGGGTTTGGGCCAGATCGTGGTCTCATTACACAGCAGGAAACCCGATGAAACACTCTTGCAGATTATTCCAACCGCTATTTCCTATTTTCAACACTCTTCCCGGAATGCATGGGTATTATTTATGTGTTTAGGTTTTAGGCAACGCGCACCAACAGGTTTAGTAGCGACCCGAGACCCTGCTATAGCAGTTGCGCAAACCCGCAAGAAATCCTAAACCCTGCGCACCAAGCCGTTGCCAGCTCCCAGGGTCCTAGGGCCTACTTAGGGACTCGTTAAAGCTCCACAAGCATCAAAGCCATCAGGAGTGTATCCAAAACCCGAAAATGGGAGCCTCAATAATTAGAACAGGGTTTATGGTATATGGTAACATAGTTCGAACCTTGTACTGCAAAGTCTTTCGGCTCTAGATTTAAAAACCCTGAACACAATTCAGCCAGAATCCCACCACCCCGCACCCGAATGGCTTCAAAACCGCTTGGGAGGGCAAAGGAAGACCTAGATAATGACATTAGCAGAAATGGTGATGGGACCAACGGTTGCAGCCATATTGCCAGCACTGGGGAATGATGCTAGTGAGCCACGCGCGAAAGGCTTGTTGCGATGGCAACCTGTAATCACCAGATTCGTCAGCATGGCACCTTTATAAGCCCGAGATTCCCGGAAGCCCTAAAATGCGTCGGAACCCTGCAGTACTAGTATGATTATCTGCTAGGGGGCCAAGATTCCAACAATCTGGGGGTTCTAATGTGCGGAATCCCCCTCTCGAAACCCTAAACCCTACACCCTAAACCAAATGTGGGGGGAATCCCCCCTGCTTTCTTTTGCACTCGCCTCTTGGCTGGACCCGGCGCCGGCAGAGCAATCGAGGCAGGCTTGAAGCCTCGCTGTGCTGCCGGCCGCCAACCTGGCGATTGCTCGCGCCTTTATGCTTGCCCTAAACCCCAAACCCTACTAAACCCTAAACCCTAAGCCTAAACCCTAAACCCTGAACCCTAAAACCTGTGGATATCTTCAAAGCAAGCTCACTTGCAAGAGCCCTGGGCAATAGCCCTTGTAACATGTTTGTCACCATTTTCTTGGACTATCGGACGAAGAGTCTTATGAGGATTCACCTCGGAGCGGCACGGCCCTGCAAGTAGGTGTTTAGGGTTTAGGGTTTAGGGGTGTAAGAGCTACGGCAATCGGCTCAACAAACTCAAACTCCCGGAATATGTGGCCTTAGTTACCAGAATACGTCTTCCGGATATTCTATTGTCTAGTTTGACATGGGGAGCTGATGGGGACTCCGACGGCATCTGATTACCCAATTGTCCACACCTTTGCAGCATGGCCACCTTTAATTTCAATCTATTACAGTCAACTATCCGAAGCTTGTCAGGGTGAAAGGTATCGGGATTACGGGGTTTGGAATCCAATTCGACATCCTTGCCAGAGAGCCGAATGCCATTGACTAAGGAAACTACCCTAAACTACAGTGCACTTCACGTCATGAAGCTGAAAGATACTAGTATTATGTTAATTTTACTGCTATGATAAGATATGATATGATATGATACGATATGATAGGATATGAGATGAAATTGCATTCCTCGACGAAGGGGCATTGGGTGCTCTGCCCTCGCTTACAGGAATCGGGAGCGCTGTCGCCTGGCGCCACGAAGCCGTTGCAGGCACCTTGACTGCGCAGAGTTGCTGGCTCGGGGCTACCGATGAATTTTGAGGGGGTTTACCTCGTTGATGAATATTACAATATACGCCCTGTGCTTCTTCTTCTTCTTCGCTGTCCTCTTCTTGCATTCCTTTTATAACCCTTCTTCAAGGATTGCATATTAGGGTCCGGGGACCCGCTCTGGCTTCCAAGAAAACTGGCCCGGCAAGGGGAGAACTCCTCGGTAAAACCAGACACAGTAAACCACCAAAACAACTACCGTTCGACAAGACGAATCCGAAGCACTACCTAGCTGGCCCATATAGCGTTTAGGTTCCGGGCTAAACCCTGAACCCCGAAGTCTGAACCCGAGAACCCGAAACCCTGAACTCTGAACCCGAGAACCCGAAACCCTGAACCCTACAACCCTAAACCGTCATCCAAGTTTGTTAATTTCCTTACCAGGTGCGCCTCGGAGACACAGCACGAGGATCGCGGCAAGCGTCCAGCGGCTGCTTGGCCTCCGCAGCTTCGGGTGCCGGAGTTTGGCCAAAAAGCGGCTTTCAGGCTTAGGGCTTAGGGTTT